AAAGCTTTCTCAGCTTCAGGCCTTTCCCATCATGCATTGATGTCAATAGTGCCTCAATTTCAGCACGATTTGGGATCCTCTGTCTGCAGTAGGATGTCATTCCCAAAAACACATAACCTGTTTCTTTGTTTCAGGCCATGGAATGGTCTGAATTGCTTCAATTTGTTTGGGTGAGAGGGTTTTGCCCTCTGCTGTGATCACATGACCCAGAAAGATGACCTTTTCAAAGGCAAGCTCCAGTTTAGATGAGCTCGCTGTATGGCATGTTAGATTTGAGTGATTCAAAATATTTCTTTAATGCTGCATTAAAGATTGCATAAATGGCTATAGGTAAACATCGTGCCTTTCAAGGAGAATGCTAACCACTACTGACTGTCAGGGTCGACTAGGATGCTGAAGAAATGCATTAACCAAATCAACAACAAAAAAAACATTTACTGTCATATTTAATTTTAGAGAAAATTGTGTGTGGATTAAGACCATTTGGTGCACGTGCGTTGATTGCAACATTTACTTCTTGCAAATCCTGAACAAATATCCACTCCTTTGGCTGGCCAGCATTTTTGATCTTTTTGACAGGAAATTTGTGATCAGAAATGAGATTTATTTTTTTTTATATACGGAACAATCACTCCACCCTTTGGGAGAGATTCAGAAATACTTTAAGGTTTAATGCCTTCAACTGTTTGCTTTTTTTTTTAAGGATATTGATTTGGACAAGTCCTGTATGAGGATTATTTGGTGTTATTAGAACAGGCACTGTGCCTTTAATTAGACCTACATCATACTTGTTGTTGCAAAACATTGGGATCTGATGTCTTTTTTGTGTCTGTGTCAGTGCTCTCACGTGTCTGATGTGATGTGATCTCTCGTCTCAGTCCTTGCGTCCAAACCAGATGGGTGGGTCCTTCACTGTCCCCGGCCCACCCGCTAGTCAATCGGCTGGTGTCTCCTGGCCTCAACCTCTTCTGTCGCATCCTCAGCCTTGTCCGCATCCCGTAGATTGTCCAGTTGTAATTTGAAGGTTTCCATAGTCCCAAGTCACACAGTTACGTTTCACCATGTCACTGATTGCTGGCTTAATGCCTTGGATGAAACTGTTTCTCCAGTGGTCCTCACAGGGGGATATGGGATTGTTCCCCCCCATAGCCTCTGATCTACGAAGTCCACCGTGTGTTTTGTGAACCTGTGTGAGTCTGGCTAGATATTCTGCCACAGTCTGTGTCGAGGTTTTGATAGAGTCTCTCTGCGCCTGAATCCTGGATGGATTCTGTTGGTGGCGTCTGCTGCTGTTGAGGCTGCTGCGGCTGCTCGTGGTGCTGGCGGATGCTGTCTTCTGGGTGGAGCCGAGTCCAGATCAGGATCTAGTTTGAGGCACTGAGACGTAGAGGTGTTTAGTGATTCTGTCCCTGCCTAAGTTTTCTGTCCCTAATGTTTACATATACATATACATATACTAATATACTTTATTAGATAATATAGTATCCAATCTGCTTTTTTCTTTCTTTTGCTTTGTTCTTCCTTCCCTCCTCATTTAGTTTTTAAATTTATAATTGCTTTATGCTAAAGCTGTCAGTGTTTGGAAATCCACTTACTTTAACCCACATGTCAAGTTGGTCAGTAATTTGTTTATATTGGTTATAAACTGAATGTTAGCAGTGGACAGGAGTAATAACAACGGAGACTTTTTATCTTTTGAGCTCTTGCTATTGGTTGAACTCATTTTCCCATTTTATCTCTTAAAACAAATTCCCCAAAAGTGACCAAAGGGATCGTGCCTTCTTTGTTCTCTCAAAGTGATGTTGATTTCACAATTTTTTTTAAAATTTAGAATTTGTCCATCTCCTAATTTACATGGACTTTAAAGCTGACTGTTACAGAAAAGACGTTCACAGATGCAAAATTAATGTCCCTTTAATTTTCTTGGGAACCTTTAAATGGTCAAAGAGGAAAAAATTATTTTCTTTTCCTTTTAATTTTCTGCAGTTAAATATTCACTCTCTCTCCTTTTCTTGTTATTTTCTCCACAATTCATTCACACACATGCATGTAACCTTCATGCATCAGATGAGTCCCTGGCTCAAGTCTCCTGGCTACAGCCTTTCACACGTACAACCTTTCATTTCTCCCATTCAACCCTGCATGCATTACTAGACGAGTCCCGGACTGAAGTCTCTTGGCTATAGCTCTTTAACCTGAAGCTCTGGCGATTCTGCAGCGGTCTTTACCTGCCCTGCTGACACGTCTGTCACATACCACCGTGGGGCGGAGAGAATCGATTACTCTGGGCCCCACTGAATACACTTACCAGAAAGACAGAGTTGGCTAGACCACCTGGTTCCCTGGATCACAGCAGTGAGCGAGCTTCGGTTCTTAGGCGTCAGGCCCTCACTTCTCTATCCTTGTGTGGCCGAGAGGTTGAGATCAGAGTCCCAGACTCTAGCCGTGCACGGTCTTTACCTTCAGCCATGAGTGTCCGAAGTCCTGTCACACGAGTGATCCCGCCGACAATGCCAAAATGTGGTGGCAATTTGTTTAATAAAGCATACAAAGTATGATCTTGTCTTTCTGTAAGGTTTTATTCAAGTCATTCATGAATGGTCTCAACGCAACTGTCACACACTCTTGTATGTGAAAGTCCAAAAGAGCCCCGATTGGAAGAAGCAGTATGGTTTTATCCCTGTTGGAGCGTCACTCTAACACAGTTACACTAAGAGACGGATAGTGTGGTGAGATGATCATGTCCTTGGCTTCTTTGTGAAGTCTCAACATTCCGCTGTTTACTTGGACGTAGAGTGTAGATAGAAATAGGGCTAAAGGTTATGTGCATACAATAGCCTCTTTAACAGTTGCGTATGGTTTTACAATGACCAGGTCAAAGGGTTGTGTAGGTTCTTAAAAATTGCCATTACACATGCAAGACAGCAACTGCTTCTATGTCCAACATTAATATTAAAAATCGTCTTTAAGTAGAAGTAGCAGGATAACATTATATTTGTATTCCTTTTATTGAACACTGTTTTACAATGTCAAGGGTTTATAGCATCTGCATTATAAGCTATCTGGCTTTTGACTATATCCTTATATTTACCGACAAGATATAAGAGTGGTAGTGAATGTAAAACCACTCCAACTACATTGCCAACCAGGCTCTCATTAACTTCTTCTCCAGATTTTTAAAAATATATCAGAACACTGTACTGACAGCAAACCATTTTCTGACTGACAAAGAAAATGGCAGCTCTGTCTCTTGGGTAAATTTTAATGGTTCGATGGTGCAGGCAGGAATAAACAGAGTGAAAAGGTTAGGGCTATTCACTCTAGGCTTACCAAGAAGTGGTATCAGGTGGGTGTACCCAAACAGAATTCCCATTATATAGAGATAACAAAAACCCCCACACTGGAAAATCACTAGACGTGACCAGCTTTTGTTATTAGAGCCTGAACACTATGTAACATTTGTTCTTAAAGCGTTTGGAAATATTTGATATATGTTTTTATTTGTACTGCTATTATTACGATTGATCTTAATGGTTTTATAGGAAGTCTGAGAAAAATAAACATTACAAATATATGCAAAATACACGTAGAGGCACCCACATGCATATGTAAATATCTGCATATGTACAGTATACAAACATCCAAAAAATAAACGCCAGATAGGCTTGTTTATATAAACATCAAAGACTTGGATCACATAATAAGATATATTAGAATTAGCATGCAAGAGCTAAAACACATGAATCTCTCTTGTCCATATGGGCTTTAAGTACTGGTATATCGAGCTGAACTGTTTAGGAAAATAAAATGCAATATGCAGAATATGATAGTAAATAATCTGTTGTGGAATAATCCCATGTCCTCCTTTCATGCCTGTCCCACAGATTACTAAACCATAAAGGGGAGGTGACGTTAACCAGAGAATACTGTAGATCACAATTTAAATGTTTTTTTTAATATTAGATGGAGGATCTTAATGGGGAGTTGTTTCATATTTGTCTTTGCAATGTCTGGTTGTAATCTTCTCCAGAGAGCCCTACAGTATGTTGGAATGTCTCATCCTTGCAGGCTTCTTAATTTGTTGTATTATGCTCTCCATGTTACTATTACTTTTCATGCACGCTGATCATCCCCAGGCTCCTTAAGCTATTTGTAAATCTTTGTCTGTTTACATACATATATGTACTGTAAATGGGTAAATGGACCAGTACTTGTATAGCGCCTTTCTAGTCTTCCGACCACACTACATGAGACATTCACACACATTCACTCTGTGATGGCAAAGTCCATCAAACAGAAACTAACATTCATACACACTCACACACCGATGCACGGCATTGGGAGCAATTGGGGGTTCAGTATCTTGCTCAAGGATACTTCGACATGTGGCACCAGGAGCCCGGGATCGAACCCACAATCTTCCGATTAAGGAACGACCCGCTCTGCCTCTGAGCCACAGCCGCCCGACTGTATATGCTATATTAATGCTAATTTATACTTGCATGTGTTTGTTCATACGTATGTGCATATATATACAGTGCATACCGTTTGTCTTATGATGATTTTCTTTGACACTTTGTCACTTTTTAAATATAGTTTTGAATTGCCTTTTTTTATTATTCAAAGTGCCTGTAACTCCTTAGCGGTGTGTGCACAGCTGTCTATAGGGCTGACAGCTTTATAAATATTCTAAAACTCTAATTATACTAAAATTTAGCACCAAAACATTACAAAGTTTTCTGTAAATGTCTCTAATGAGTCTAAGCATATTTTAAGGTGCAAATTGTACATTCTTGATATATGAAAGTTCCTCAGACTGGACATGATGTGGCTTTGCATATTTGGCTTTGCATATATCAGGAACAAACATCAGGAATTTCCTTGTGGTTTCTCTTTTGCATAAAATGTAAGCTGTTCTACTTAAGTGCATCAATAAAGGACCACCTGTTTATAAATCAGAACAGAAAACAACCAACCTTTCTTTTTTTATCTCTGTCTAGGTGAGAAAATCAGCTGGATGAAGGTGAAGATACTGTGCTTGTGGAGCTGGTTCTACGCTCTGATCTGGGCTCTGTTCCCCATTCTGGGCTGGGGACGGTATGGCCCGGAGCCCTTCGGCCTCTCCTGCTCTCTTGCCTGGGGTGACATGAAAAATGAGGGCTTCTCTTTTGTCATCTCTCTTTTCTCCTTGAACCTCGCCATGCCTTCTGTCATCATCATCTGCTGCTACTTTGGCATCGCCATCAACCTCTATTTCACCCACAAAAAATCGATGAACAGCATCCGAGTCCCCAACATTGTCAAGCTACATCGAAGGCTGTTAATAGTAAGGGACTCATTCTGATGAGAAAGCTCTATTTTTATAGATTTGGTGACTCATTGTAAGCTGCCTTGTGACATTTCAACATCAGTTTATCCTTTGGGGCTTCACACTGGGCTGAATGGTTTTTCATTATAGGGGCAGTGCTCTGTTATTTCAGACTGATTTAATGGGCATTGTGAAATAGCATCTTCCTTGATGTTGCAATTGCAGACACACCCAGTGGCTGCTTATGTAAAACAAGTAATTCTCAGTGTGGGTGTAAAGAGTGGTGGTTCCCAACCTTTTTTCACACGTAGCATCATTTGAGGAAGCAGTGGCAGCTACTGGGTGGGGGGTGGGTGCTAGGTGTGAGACAGTGAGAAGAGACTGTTTGTTAAACAATGGCGGCTGCAAAAGAGGTTCTTGTAGAAGCTACTATAGCATCAGTTATATCAGAACTGGAGAGTATTTCTTCACTGAAAGGCTTTTCTCCTTAGAACATTTTTTCACTCTTCTCCTGACTGGCTTCATTAAGTTTGACTATGTTATATAGTTTTGTGATCTGATTGGTCAAAGTTCCCCCACGATAGATGGTGACAGACAGATGGTTCATCCAATCATCTGCTGAGTATTTTTTGAAAGTGCCTCCCCTTTTCAATGACTTCCCAGACAGCCCTGTCAGATGAGCTCAGGTACCCTCTTCATCAGCACCACCCATCCCAATGTGTTCATTGAATTGATTTTAAAATGTTACATTTTTATTGCTAACTATTTCAACCATTTACCCATTTTTAAGCAAACTGTTTACACTCGCTTGTTAAATTCCCACACACTCTCAATCACAACACAAAGTGTGAACGACTGACTCAATATTGGAAAATGTCTCTAGTTTTTAAAATTAGTGGAGCTACCCCTTGGGTTAAAAGACCCCTGGTTGGCTTACAGAGGAAAACTGACCAAAAGTGAACTTTTTCAGAGTTACAAGTTGTTTTGTTTTCTGCATATACCTAAGGCTAGCTGTTCAGAAAATGAATTGCTATACAGTATGGGTAGTTCATATTAAAACAGACTTATTCTGTGTATATTGCCCCTAGACCTGCAGACATCTGCCCAAATAGATAATTGGTGGAATTGAATTATTGTTTAGATTCTATAGTTAACAAGGACATTACAGCTAAACACTGTTACAAAGAAAAGGAATGCCACAGATGGTATATGGCGTCCCGCTGAAACCAATTTACATTTGCAGTCCAAAAACCAATTGATAAAACAGATTTCAGGATTAACAAACAATAAACACCTATTGGGACAAAATCATCTGTCATATGTGTGTATGTCCTAAACATAACAGTGTATGCACTGACATAACTCTAGCAGAGGAAATCGCCTTTAGCAACAAGCAAACGATCAGGACGTCCAAAAAGACTGCAGGAGTTAGGTTAGAGTTACACAGCACACAGCTGTACTGTAAATATTGATGGGTACATATTGATAGGGTCAATGAAGCTTCTTTTAAATGCCAGAAGAATTCATTTCCATGATTTCCAAAGAATAAATGTTTTTATTTTAATGTTTATTTTCTTCTCCTGTTCTATTGCAGATTGCCGTGTTGATCAGCGCCGGCTTCATCGTCTGCTGGGCGCCCTATGGCCTGGTAAGCCTGTGGTCTATTTTCCGTGACAGTAGCACCATCCCGCCTGAAGTTAGTCTCCTGCCGTGCATGTTTGCAAAGAGCTCCACCGTATACAATCCTATGATCTACTACAACTTCAGCAAGAGCTTCAAAAGGGAGGTAAAGCAGCTGTGCTGGTTGTGCCTACGCTCTAATTCATGCCACGCCTCCAACAGCATCAACGACAACAGCATTTATATGGTTAGCACTAACATCAAGCCCAGAGTAGCAGCGCAATATACTATGGAGGAGATCTCGGAGTCAAAGATAGTGACCTTGGGTTGAAAGACTTTTTTTGGGATATGCTTGAGAGGAAAGACGTCACTGTTCAACAAAGACTTTTGTGCTGTTAACGAATGAATGGTCTCATAATGTGTTATCTCACAAACATTGTCAGAATAGGTAATGCTATTATAATGTAACAAGCAGGTAATGCTGGCCCCTTTTGTGTGAGGCCAGAATGAAGTGTTTGCACAACAGGTTAAATGCTGTGAAGGTTCAGCCAACTAAGCTATATATTAGATTTAATGCGCACAACTGTATGTACTTGCAAAAGCCAATAAACAAAGTAAAAAAAGATTTAATAGTGCTTACAGGTGGCAAAAAATAAACACACAAAAAAAGATGAAAGAGATGTTTACTTTAATGATTCAGGTTTCATCTGTGATAGATAGTCGTTTGATTGAATAATTCCTTCTTCATAGTTTTGTGACACCAAATCAGTATTTTCCTATATGTATATATATATATATATATATATATATATATATATATATATATGTATATAAACGGGGGGAACAGTAAGGCTCTGTTAGTGAGCTTTAGAGGTTTATTGCTGTTTCTGTCCCTCATTGGATGTATTATTAATAAAAAGATAAACTAAAGCTTTATCCAGAACTATGAAAATAAAAGCCCTTTAGAAGTCAGTGTGCAGCTGATTGTTATGTCACCAGTGTATTAATGAAAGCATTGTTCAAGTTTCACTGGAACTCCTCCAATGACACAGCAACAGTATAACAGCGTATTATTGTATATTAATGACAAGTTCATGTTTCTATATACACTTTTTGCGAACTGTCCATGTTCTGCTTTACTCAGGGATGATTTTGATGTTCACCTGCACTCTACAATAGCAGTGGTGGACCCCCGCAGGAGTTCCCTTTTAACTCCCTCTTTCAATGAGCTTGACAAAGTGGCAAATTTTAGTTTTGGGATTTTGCAGTGTCATGTGCAGTTTTTTTTTAATGCTGCTTGTAGCTACTGTTGACAATGTTGAATTGTTTCTAAAATATGTGAATGTAGAGCTATGAACCTCTTGCATATTTGTGTGCACAATTTACTGGTCTTGTTTGAGGAAAAAACACTGACTGCTTACAATAAATGAGTGGACAATGAATGCACAATGATGGTATCATAAAAATGGTTGTGTATAATGAGGACATAGTGATTGTCATCCTGAATTCCAGTCGGGCACTGTTGCAGCTGTGGAAGCTTCTTGAATTCTGACGTTTAAGTCTATGTTTTCTTATTGTCACTTCAACAGTCAGAGCTCAGGGTGTAAAGCATAACGCTGTCAATCAGTGAGTGTATAAATCCATCTCTAAAATGTCAGTGTGTAAATTTGCATACATTCTACATACTAACATTTACATAATTCTCATTAGTATGCAGTATGAACCCTTCAGATGTAGTCCCGCTCTCTGTAGAATAAACATAATTAAACTATATTCACAGTCTCATGTGAAGAAGAGGGGATGTGGACAACCTCAACGTGCCGCATCAACATTTGGAAACTCGAATATATATATATAAAATGATCAGGGTCGTGGATCTTTTAAGTAAGTACATTATAATACATGTCTTTCATCTTATAATGTATCCATGAGAGGGCTTTGCAGTGAGCCAGCAGGCAGGTTTTCCCACACACTAATTCAATAAGTTCTATAATAATTAACAACAAGATGCTAGCATCTATGTGAGACTGTACATAGGCACAGCGGGGTTAAAGCTTTGTGAGTATGTTAGCATGCTTCCATTAGCATGTATATGTGAAACCGGTATAATAACCATCTTAGTTTAGCATGTTAGCTTTGTACAAAGTACAGTTGAAAGCTTTGTAAAATTGTCTAATTATAAATGCTATTAGTTTTATAGATATTTGGTCATAAACCTAATTATAAGAGCTGAGAGCAGTCGCTGGCGAGAAATAGACTTTTGTAGCCCCAGCAGAAGTTGTGTGTCTAATATAGTGCCTCGATTAATGTCACTTGAGTCAACATCAGTTGAGCCTGAAGACTACAAGAGTCTGGGAATGTGGAGTTAGAAAGAAGTGTGTCGCCAGCTCCTCATCCCCGCTTGAGGCCAGTGGTTAGTTTAGCCGTTACTAGCATCGCCCCCAAAAGAACGACTACCAAAGCACCAGAAGAGCTGCAGAAGTGAAGATTCTTCCATAAATGTGGAATTAAATATAACAAACTTGAGGTGCTGCACTGAAAATGAGCGAAGCACAGATTTTGTGAAACTAATAATGTCTTTGTGATTCTTATGTACACCCAAATGTGTTTGATTTCAAGCCAGCAATAAGCAGATAGAAATTGCGGTGCCCTTAAAGTATCTGCAAAGAATACTGCTAAAAAGGTCACATCTAAAACAATGTGTTCAAACCTCCATCAAGCCACTTAGTGCAATTTTGTCAATGTCAAATGAATAATTATCTCTAGGTTTACACACAAGGTTTTACATTCAGTTAAAAAAGTTGACGTCTACCTTACCAGACTGTAAAAAAGATTTAATTCACCCACTTATTTCCAAAAGTGGTGTAACATCTCAGAAAAAGGGGTCACATCAGTCACGTTTCCAAAGTTCACATCCTTTATTTAGAAGAGAAAATCTGATTCGGTATTACAAGTAGAAAAATACAATTTCCAACAATGTCATCACTTGCAATCAACGTCATGCTTTTATTTTTAAACAGGAGTTAGTTAAATGAAAATAGTAGTAGTTGGTTAGAGGTTTAATGTGAATCTATCTCCACAGCACTGGCACTTACCATACCCCGCTAAGTAATTGAAAAGTACAAACAAATTTCACAATAAAAGCATTATATTCCAAGTAGGTTTATAGTGCTGTGCTGCAATGTTATATATGTTATGGATGGAAAAAATAAATTTAAAAAATCAGGCCAAAGTTTTTATCACGATACTGTATTATGTTTGTTTATCTTATCCCAATTTGAATAAATGAAGTGTATGATTTATTGTTCAGGTGTTGGTAAAAGTATTTATGTAGTTTAATGTCATAATTATTGAGGCAAACTGTGAGGATACTATTAGCAATTCACTTCAAATTTAATATACACAGAATGCAATGTTAATACAATCACGACACCCCAACAGGTTTTTAATCATTCTGAGTGCTGTATTGTGATGATGGGACTGAGATTGTGGCTTTTTACCATGTTGTGTGACGGGATATTACAAATCAGAGGTTCTGTACAGAGAGCTCCCACTTGTGACTTTGTTGTGGATACAGCACAAAGAGACAGTTCTTAAAGTTGCAGTTATTATTATTATTATTTTTTTAGATTTCACATAGCCTGGCGGATGTTTTCCAGGCTCTTCTCAATGTTGTCAATAACCTCCATTGCAGCTTGTGGGATCCTGGTTCCCGGGCCGAAGATGGCGCTCACCCCGCTCTGGTACAAGAACTCGTAGTCCTGCACGCACACAGAGGTGGAACACGGTTAAAATGAACTGCAGTTAATAGGGGGGAGGGGGGTAATTCAGCTTTATTCATCCAGAGAAAGCAGCATGTGAGCAGTCCCTATGTAATAACATTAGTTATGCTATAGCTGATTCAACGAGAAGTATCCCCAATAGGAAAGGGAAGAAATTTGTTTTGCAGACAAACAGTAAGATTGACAGGAACAGGACTTCAAAAGAAATCCTACAGTGTGATAATGGTAATTATATGAATCATGGGAATCCTCATCATTATAGATTGGCTGTTTTTCCTTATGACAACAGGATGTCATTTTATATACTTATCCGTGTACTTGTGTTATGAAGTGCTATATGTGTGTGTGTTTCCATAGCTCCAAGGCGCCAGTAGTCACGCTGGAGGCTTTGCAGACTAAGCTTGCCTGGGAGAGGAATTGATTTCTGTCTCTGCGGACCAATAGATTATTTAACACTGTGCTAATCAGTAACCACTGCCTACATACAAGCTATTTAATCTGTTTTCAATTAAACCCCTGACACTGTTATAGTGAGGGTCAGCAATCTAAAATGAACCTCTTTCTGAAGGCTAGAGATTTGATAATCATGGAAATCAGATGTTACCTGTGGTGGGATGACGCCTCCACAGATGACCAGGATATCTGGCCTGTTGAGCTTCCGTAGTTCCTTGATGAGCTCTGGGACCAGGGTCTTGTGTCCTGCAGCAAGCGTGCTGACTCCGACACAGTGCACATCTGCATCAACCGCCTGCTGAGCAACCTCAAGGGGAGTCTGTTCACCCAAAGGTCAAATAAAGAAAACACAACTCAGAGTGGGGTGTACGATGCATGAGAAAAAGAACAAAAATGTTTCAATATGATGCGGTGCAATACCGTCACCACAGAGCACAGTCAAACCCATCCGCTTCACTTAACTACTCCATTTAAGTAAGCTACTGTACTTGATTTTGCTTGATGAATACTGTATATAACACTAATGATATATATTACATGCAAGCTACAGTATATTTGATCACTTGCAAATTGTTTGCATAGAAAGTAAAAACACTGTGTTCTTTCAGGATCCCCAACTCTGTCAGTGACATCATACAATTAGCAAAACTGTATTTTATTACAAAATTCTACTCAGTTGTGAATATCACTTGAGGGGCAGCTGTAGCTCAGTCCATACAAACTTGGCTTTGGAACCGGTGGGTGGGGTGTTCAAGTGTACATCTTTTTCTTTAAAAACACTAATACTATTTGGTCAGGATTCTTCTAGTGGCCGGGAAGAAGGCCATTACTAAGAACTGGCTTAAGTCTGATGCTCCAAGTTATAAACAGTGGATGTCAATTATAGATGATATACTTGTGATGGAACATCTCACATGTAAGTTAGATACATACATACATACATACATACATGTATTTCCCGCTGTCTAACCTGAAACATAATTTGTGATTCAAAATACAGTCACAATACCAAGGGTATTTGTTTTGTGAGCGCTGCCCTGTAAATGACAGCAGTTAAACATAACACTCACTATTTCCTAATGTTTTTCATATATTCTATTTACTCACTGCCAGAGGAATTACTTAACACAAGGCCATATGATCAAAAGTTGAGTAATTACGCCTGCATTGTGTGACAACTGCTGCAGGGCGGCACCCCACCTCATTATAGCACATTAAAGAAAATAATTATGTACTACAGAATAGACTGGTGTATCCATCCACATCCTATACATACTGTATGTATGTCCAACATCTGAGTATTCACTCCTCTGGGTGAATATTAAGATTAGAGATTGCTTGAAATCTAGAATATCTCTAATCAACCAACAAAACAAACGACTGACTGTGTGTCTCAGCATGTCCCAACCGCCTGTACGAATTTGGGAATCAACCACAGTTACGAGGTATTGGCTCAGGGAGTGCGGCTCCTAGCTAGTAGATCGGTAGCACCCCCGCTTGGCTTGCTAACTCTGTTACATTATAACACTGTTTGTGTTATATCATACTGAGAGCTGAGCCTGCCTTCAAGCAGTCAGGTCAGACTACATTGAATATTTGGTCTGACTCATTGCATATGGATAAAAATGTTAAATTATTAACACAGAGAATGGAAGCAATCAAACTTCTCACAGCAAATATTTTAGCTCGTCAAAGCAGGAAAAGCACAGGTG